CACCTACAATCCCTGCCGGTGCGAGACTCGAACCCGCAACCTTTGGTTTACGAGTCCAACTCTCTAACCATTAGGCCACGACTTCCCCCTAATACACAGGTCCAGCCCCAGCATGAATGCAGGAAGACCCTATGAGATCACAACAACCACAATCAATAGCTCATAAAACAAACAAGACAAAGGAAATACAAAATGGTAAAATTAACTTAAATAAATTTATTATAATAAATAACCGAAAATACTGTACATCAATAATAGCAATACACATTTAAATACACACTAAGTTCATTCTCTTCATTATGTAAATGATTTGTGAAGTGTATGGAAAGAGACTGATGTACAGTAGTAATCTTTCAAAACACTCCCATAAATTCATTTACTTGATCAGTATTTTTGTGTGTGTGTGTGTGTGTGTGTGTATATGTGACCCCGGACCACAAAACCAGTCATAAGGGTACATTTTTTGAAATTGAGATTTAATACATCATGGATAGCTGGATAAATAAGCTTTCAATTGATGTATGGTTTGTTAGGATAGGACGATATTTGGCCGAGATGCAACTATTTGAAAATCTGGAATCTGAGGGTGCAAAAAAATCGAAATATTAAGAAAATCGCCTTTAAAGCTGTCTGAATAAAGTCCTTAGCAATGCATATTACTAATCAAAAACTACGTTTTGATATATTTATGGTAGGAAATTTACCAAATATCTTCATGGAACATGATCTTCACTTAATAGCCTAATGATTTTTGGCATAAAAGAAACATTTATAATTTTGACCCATACAATGCATTGTTGGCTATTGCTACAAATATTCCCGTGCTACTTATGACTGGTTTTGTGCTCCAGGGTCACATATGCATTTTGTTACATAATGTGTTATGAACAAACATGAATAAACAATGAATAATATATGTATAAAATGAACATTAAAGGTCCCATGGCATGAAAATTTCACTTTATGAGGTTTTTTAACATTAATATGAGTTCCCCTAGCCTGCCTATGGTCCCCCAGTGGCTAGAAATGGCGATAGGTGTAAACCGAGCCCTGTGTATCCTGCTTTGCCTTTGAGAAAATGAAAGCTCAGATGGCCCAATCTGGAATCTTCCCTTTATGTCGTCATACGGGGAAAGGTTACCTCCCCTTTCTCTGCTTTGCCCGCCCAGAGAATTTGGCCCGCCCATGAGAAAATAAGCTACTACCGTGCGAGGCGAGCGCAATATTTTTTTTTCCTCGAGACATCATGGCTTGCAAACGAGCGAAGCATGGCAGTTGCCCCGCCTCTCTCCTCCTCATTAGCATTTAAAGCTACAGACACAGAAATGGCACGTCCTAAGGAAAGCTCATTGGCTCGTAGTGGCTGAAATTCTGCACCAAGGCTGAATTTCGGGAAAGAGACTTCAGATACAGTACTAGGGACTACTTAGGCCTATATAAAAGCATCCAAAAAGCAGCATGTCATGGGACCTTTAACCGAAATAAATACTAAAAAAATGAGTTTTTTAATTAACATAAATTGAATCTTATTGTAAAGTGTAACTAATAATATTTACAATAATATGTATTTATTAAATAACTAATATATTGTTAGTATGTATACTACACACACACACATAAAAATCAGCTTCACACTCAAAAACTCTAAGGTAATTCTAGAGTTAACTAGAATAAGATCTTGCCTGTACAGGTACTGATTCTTGTTGCCAAATATGCTGTACTTGGGAGACCCAGAGACTCAGAACAGGTCTAAACATCACCAGCACAGAGAGGAGGAAGTGAAAATGCCGTCTGAAGAAGAAATGAGCCAGTAGTCCAGCTGTGAGATCAGTGAAGTGCACCAGAGCCCAGTGCAGAAGCTTGTTGACAGAGTTATGGATCTTATAAAGTATCTCCTTTAGTCCACAAAGATCCATCTTGATTTGCTGAGGGCAGAACTTCCACTGCATGTTCAACAGATCGACTAATTGAGGGAAGGAGAGAAATGAGATTGTTCTAGCATCTGTCAGCAGGGTTATTAGCTTCCCTTTTGTTTTCTCAGCTGAGTTCAACCTGCTGGTTTATGTCACACTTCTCATCATTTACCCTTTCACTCACAGTCCTGACATTTTGCTCCAAACAGCTCCAAACATTCCCATATTATCAGCCTGCTCTCTCTGTGAGTGTGTGTGTGTGTGTGATGTAAAGCAGCACAGCAACATTCCCTTTGTGGTTTCAACTCTATTTAGCATCCGTCTCTGTAGTATGGATTAAAATAAACGTTGGCTTTGGAAAAAAGGTCAAACAAAACAAAACAAAACAAAACAAAAAACTAAACAAAAAGCATGACACTAGACAAAAACACAAAACAAGAAATACAAAACAAGACAAAACAACAAAACATTTTTTTTTTTTTTTTACAAACAGTTAAAACAATTAGTAAAGTAAAATTTACACTATACACTATAAAATTACTAATATAAACAAGTAACTGATAACTACAGTATACTGACTATATGGTTATTATAATAATTGTGCTCATTGTGTTTATTGTACTATTTATTGTTGTTTACAGTACTGTTTAAAAGCTTGGCAGTAAGATTTCTTTTATTGTTTTTTGAAAAAAAGTCTCGTATGCTCGCCCAGTCTGCATTTATTTAATTATAAAAATACAGTAAAAAAATTTTTTTTTTTAAATGAACTGTTTTTTAATATATTTTTACATGTAATTTATTCCTGTGATGCTGAAGCAGAATTTTTAGCACTCCAGTCTTCAGTGTAACATGATCCTTCAGAAATCATTCTAATATGCTGATTTGGAGAAACATTTCATTTCATAATAAGAAAAAGAAAATAACATTATAAATGTCTTCACTGTCACTTCTGATCAGTTTAATCCATCACTGCTGAACAGAAGTATTAATGTCCTTAAAAAAAAGATCTTACTGAGTCATGTATATGTTGAACACATTTTTTTCTTCTTCACGTTAGAAAAGACCATGTTTTCCTCTACTTACTATCATTAGAATATAGCAAATATACAGTACACATATGTCAGTGTGAGTACCTAAATTCTGACCTTGTCTTAAATTGTTTGAAAATAATTTTGAATGCGTGTAGCATTGCATGTAACTAACTGAATTGCTTGCAGCTGACTGAAATATTTGAGATGCGATTTATAGTCCAAACAAACAAAGTT